ACTACAAAATTTCAAAAACATTGGCATACATGATACTTAAGCAGCACCAACCCAACAACACAGGAGTCACATGATTTCATCGTCTACCCTCGCCTGGCATGGGCCAGTAGGCCTTCTACAGTGTTCCTCCATTCTTATGTTCTTATGACATTCCTCAGGTCACGTGCGTCACATCTCACTCTCCGCCTATATATATAATGTCTTTCTACCTCTGTATGTTAGAAGTGATCAAGGTTCCAGGACCGAAACGTTTTCTAATAAATATGTTATAGTGTTTGCTTACATGTCTTTCTAAACCAACTGTACACCGTGTACGTCAGGCCCATACTGGAGTATGCAGCACCAGTATGGAACCCACACCTGGTCACGCACGTCAAGAAATTAGAGAAAGTGCAAAGGCTTGCAGCAAGACTAGTCCCGGAGCTAAGGGGTATGTCCTACAAGAAGAGGTTAAGGGAAATTAGCCTGACGACACTGGAGGACAGGAAGGATAATGGAGACATGATAACGACGTATAGATGCTCAGAGGAATTGGCAAAGTGGACAGAGATAGGATGTTCCAGAGATGGGACACAGAAACAAGGTGACACAGTTGGAAGTTGAAGACTCAGATGAGTCAAAGAGATGTTAGGAATTATTTTTTCAGTCATAGAGTTGTTAGAATGTGGAATAGTCTGGAAAGTAATGTAGTGGAGGCAGGATCCATACATTGCTTTAAAAAGAGGTCATAAGAACATAAGAAAGAAGGAACACTGCAGCAGGCCTACTGGCCCATGCGAGGCAGGTCCAATTCTCCCACCGGCTTAAGCCAATGCCTTGACCTAGTCAGGCCAGTCATATTCACTTACGGGAGGAGCACGGCATCTGACCTAGTAGCACAAACTAGTCAGGTCCAACTCTCACCCACCCACACCCACTCATGTATTTATCCAACCTATTTTTAAAACTGCACAAGGTCTTAGCTTCTACGACGGCACTCGGGAGTTTGTTCCACTCTTCCACAACTCTATGACCAAACCAGTGTTTTCCTGTATCCTTCCTGAATCCGAATTTTTCCAATTTAAAACAGGGAGAGAGTGGACCTAATAGCGACCAGGGAAGAGGCGGGGCCAGAAGCTGTGACTCGACCCCTGCAACCACAACTAGGTGAGTACACACACACACACAAACACAAAAACTTGTGTCCAGACATTCACGACTTCCTCAACAAAGACTTAAAAAAGATTTCCTGTGTGTCTCATTAAAAGTCGTGTAGGTATTGTGAGGTGGTCTCTCAGGACCTCTCAGCTTCCCTCATCTGTCCTCATCTCGCCACAGAACGTGTTTACTTCTAACATTTTTAATGCCATCATTCTCACTTATTTCAGATATTAACTTTTTTCTCATTATTTTACACATTGAATTATTAAGAAAATATTGCTCTGTCAGTTGATTTTAAAGTTGAGTTAAATGTATGCTAGAGTATGGTCCCCAGGATGCCACCCACACCAGTAGGTTAATACCTCAGTACGATCTAAGGGGAAGGTTTCTCAAAATACGGGGTTAGAAATGCTTAGACTTAAGACTTAATACTCAGTTTTAAGACTTCGATTTAAGACACTTTCAAAGTCGAAAAACATAACATTAAACTCTAAGCATTTCCGAAATTATTATTACTGTAGTCAGCTAGACTTACGTCCACCTCCAGATATATTATCTTATCTCAGCTCTCTTACTTTATATTAATGATGATAACATTACTGAAGAATTAGTGGGAATTCTGAGTATAACAGGTGTCCGTTGTTCGGTCGGTAGCGCAGTTACTTCACACACTGAGGTCTGGGGTTCAACCTCCGGTTCCGGTTAAAATATTAGGGCGTGTTTTATGAAGATACCTACTGTCCCTGTTCACCTAGCAGTAAATAGGTACCTGGGTGTTAGTCACATTATACCTGCTGTCCCTGTTCAGCTAGCAGT